AAATCATACAAAACATACACATAAGCATAGAAATCAACCACAACATACACATAATGATGGATCTACACTTTTTCTTGTATTCTCCCCCACAAAAACTCATAAAAACCGAAAAATAAGGGGATATGAAACTCACCTTGGATGTTGATTCGGTTTTTGAAGAAAGAATGGAAGAAATGAAGTGATTTTTGGCCTTTGCACTCCTTGATGAAGTTTTCGAGTTTATGGGGTTTCTAGAGTGCAAGATCACGATTTTTGCATGGATTAGGAAGAGATTTTTGATAAACAAGGAATACAAGTCATAGATCCAAGCAAAACCTTACCTTAGATGATGATTTTGTGGAAGAACTTCCTTGAATGCTTCCAAAAATTTCGAGATTTTGGATGGAGAAGAAGAGAGTAGCCTTGAGTGATTTAGAGAGAGTTTTTGAGTGTTTTGTGTGTGTGTGGGTGTTGCTCTCGGCCGAGTTCAAGAAGAAGAGAAGAGAGAGAGTTGAGTTGACAATCCTAGATGCATGTTGGTCCATGCATGGAGATATGTGGGATATAAGTGAGATGGCAAGGCTCTAGTCAACTCTTCTCCTTGGTTTTGGGCTTATGGGCCGAGAATTGTAAATGGAAAGGAAAAACAATTGGGCTTTAATGCCCTAACCCATGTAGATGTTAAGTTGGATGGTTTTTAGTCCCAAAAGAAATATATTAGGATTTTTACACTTTGTTGGGCTAGTTTAGGTTAATCATGGTTCAAAATTTTGTATTTATTTCATTCTAGGTTCAACATGGCTCAAAATGTTGAAATAAATAGATGTGGGTCCAATTAGAGCCCAATTAGGGTTCTAAGCCCATGATAGTCCAATTGGAAGCTTATTGGTCCATTTGGATCCAATAAGGAAGTTCTAGTCCAAAATGGACTTAACAAGAACCTCTAGGGTTTTCCAATTGTTTGATGTAGAGAACTGGGGGTTTAGTTTCCCATTGAGTAAGCATCATACTTGTTTTTGAGTTTTTGATTTCAACATTTAATTGAGTATAGTGATTACAAGACATAGAATTTCTAGTTGTGACACTCATGATAGTTGTTGTTTTAGGGACATAAAGTGAGGATAACGGGAATGAGTAATCAGGTTAATGTTGGTTGGTGAAATTAAATATAATTATTTATTGTAGGTTGAAAACCTTATATGCTCACCAGGCTCCCAAGCCTGACCCACCCAGTTTCTTTGTATTACAAGTAGTAGCGCGAGAGCATAAGTTAGAGAACTTGTGAAGATATTTTTATTTATAGACCAGTAGTTGTATGTAACTGTGTAAGGTCTATGTTGTACTATTTATGCTTTTGGTCTGTATCGGAACATGACATCCCGAGTTTTGATAAATAATGAAAATACATTTCTTTAAGAAATGTTTTGATAAACCTTATTTTATCATGTTTTGTTTTGAGGACAAATTCCGCAACCCTTTTAATCAAAAGATTACTCTGAAATTATTTTAAAAGCATAAATTAAACCGGTCTTTTTCGACCGTGATTTTGGGGATGTCACAGATGTTGTGCGCATGCTATTGAATAGGGGAGAAGATAAAATGTGTCCTTAGATACTGGAAAGATAGGTCGAAGGCAGTAGATGAATACCAAAACCGAAAATGGAAAGAAACGCTACATACAAGAATAAGAAAAGGATGAAGCATATTTAAAACTCTCAATTTCACAAATTCAAATCAGGAGGAGTTTTCCAAATAAAGGAGTTTTGATGTGTTAGAGTTTCATAGAAATGGAATAAGAGATGCTCATACATGTTCAAATTTGTTGAAGATCCCTACGGTTCATTCCCTATATTACGGAGGAGAAGGAGCTAATCTAGAAATTTCTCGTAGTCGATGTTTCAGGGGACTTGAACGTTTGCTCTATATTCGAACTTCCGACATTGTTTCACCATGTCGGAAATTTCACAGCAAGAGAACAAGCCATGGCGCTCAAGGTCGTTGAACTCATTATCGAGCTTGCACAACGCCCACCATTATTACTGCGTCGGAGAAAATGAACCGCATGCAGCGAAGGGTTTCCACTCGTTAGATTATAACTTCTTAATTGCTGAATAACCGGCCCAAAACACTTTATCTTTTGAAGTTTTGACCACTCTGTTTAAACTTTAATGTCAATGTGGTCCTCGTATTTATTTCCGATTTTTAGATATTATCTCACATAATGATTTTATGAATTTTAGCCACTTAGCCCCACCGATTTAAAGATATTTTATGACAATTATGTCATATTTTTCTTTTAAATTTCCTGTTATCATTATATGGTTATTAACTTTATATATATATATATATATATATATATATATATATATATATATATATATATATATATATATATATATATATATATATATATATATATATATATATATATATATATATATATATATATATACGACCATTATTTTTTAATTTTCTAATTTGTTCGCAACTATATGTCATCGCAATGTTTCTATGTGACATTTTAGTTAATAAGTTGGTAAGTTTTAAATATATTGATCATTTTCTTTGGTCACGAAGCCATAAATATTGTGACCATTATTTTTGGTCACTATTTAAATATAGTGACCACTTTAGTGACCGGTGAGTGACGACTATCATAATATTGGTCACTAAGTTTTTAGAGTTATCAAAATCCAATGATGACTTAATACATTGTGACTAAACGATTTACTTAGTGATCATATTTTTAATCGTCACTAAAAAAACTGGTCACTAAAAAAGATTTTTCTTGTAGTGATTGCAACCGATCCACCATTTCCCTTTGTTATTGTTTATAGTAAGAAACCACCTCTCATCGTATGGTGATTACCTCTTCTCTCTCCTCTAGCTCCGATGCCTCTCACCGGCCATCACCACTATATATATATATATATATATATATATATATATATATATATATATATATATATATATATATAAGAAATTAAAAAAAAAACATTCATATTAGGAGTATATTTGTGATTTCAGGTTGGGTACAGATCAAAATCACACAAACATGTCAACTGTATGGACCAAAACCATACAAGGTATACGAAATTGGACCACTGATGCATCATCAAACGTTTTTGAACTAAAACCATATAATTTTGCCAACCAAAGAGACCATTTTTACAATTTTGCATTTTAAATTTATTCTAATTATAAAGCATCTATTGCCGTATTTAGTATTTTTAGAAAATGATTTTTGAATACAACCCAAACGTCATCTAATATTATCAAAGCCTCACAAAAAAGGAAATTAATGGGAGTGTATCCAACCATAACCAAATATGAGGAGGCATTGTTAGTAGTCCACACTTAACCCGATCCTACTTTTGTGCACGAATATACATAAGTTAGATGGCAAGCCAACTCTTAGATTTATGATATTTGAGCCATATATATTTCAACCTTTCATCACAAAAAGGCATGAACTCTTCTTTGTGTAATGAAAAAAAATAGTCCAAGTCATTAGCTGTTTGTGAACATGTAATCAAATCTCTTGATTTTTGGTTAGTTGATCCGTAATTTATTCTAATGTATAAATATGACTGCTTGTATCTTCGATCGGACATTAGCATTAATTTACTTCACCTCAAATTGGACAAAGTTTCACCAGCTAAATGTCACCATTATCATATTACTTGAGTCGAGCCCCACAATTACTCAAAGGTCAAACTGTCATACATAATAACTTGATCAATATACGAGGTTAAGTTTTGCAATGAATATGGGGATACTTTGCATGATTAAACTGTTAATCAATTATTTTCAAACTACCGAGTTTCGTCTAAAAACCAGATCGATTCTTCGCGATCATATATGATTATAAAAAGGGGCAGAAGCATAATGTTTCGTTATCAGATATAATTAAAAGACATAACAATAATGTAAAACCAACCTCGTTATTGTAGGTCTTCGACCAATAAACAACTGCATGGAAAAAGCTCATTTACGTCACTCCAATTCAGTAAGCTTGAGCGTAAACACCCAGGATTTAATGCAATTTATTCTCGTTCCAACAATTATGGAAGAAGGAATAAACGCAAAATGATTACATGAAAAAACAGAAGAAACTAAATTTTACAGAAACAAAAAATCACAGAATATATATATATATATATATATATATATATATATATATATATATATATATATATATATACACACACACACATACATACACACACACACAGAGAGAATTTTCTAGTGCATGGAATATGATTCTACGAGGGCTGAGGGCTGCATTTATAGTTGCAAAAACCTAGAAGCAAAAGTTTCTCGCAAAAACCTAGAAGTAGAAGTTTCTGCGAGATACACGATGCGACAGAAAATACACCACACCAAGTTCATCATTTCACACGTTTGCGGAATTGGCTAAGGTTAGACGCGCGTGTGGAATTGACCCATCTATTGATCCACGTAAAGCCTATAAATGCATATAAAAAAAAGACATTATAAACCTAGTAAATGTTCCCTATCTATATGGGTTAATGGGAAACTAGCCAACTTGCTTTTACCACTATAATTTCCAACACTTGCCCCGGCCAATTCCAACACTTGTGCCGGCCGATGCCAATACAGAGCCACTCACCCTAGCATAAACTAATGCAACATGAAAGTGCATGCTATTGAACTTTCCCTTCTTCTTAAGCTTATTTTTCACTAACAAAAATACTATACATTTTGTGAGATCTCATAATAGTGTAAGGCTCATTTGTTTCTTTTAGATCTATAAAACTTACTCATTAAAAAATACATGCAAATTTAAAAAGGGCAGCCCATTCCCCACCTATCTCTCCCAATGAAGGTGAATGTGCCAAAATATTGGTGGGGAATGAATGACTAAAAATAAAAATACAAGTTTGTCTTTAAGACATGTTAATTTTTTGTATCAAAAGAATTAGGGTAAGTAAAAAGTTAAAGAAAATGTTATTTTTTCTGTTTTCAATTTGGAGTAAAAAAAATAATAAATAAAAAAGTGGAGATATAAAAGATGTGTAGTAGCCGACTTCACTCTTCCTTTTCGGGTGAAATCACCTGTAAAAAGCAAAGCAAAGCAAAGCAGCATCCTCTAAAATCAAAACCAACCAAACCACCCCTAATCGCTCTCGTCCCCATCCATTATTCCCCGACGCATCCCCAATTCCTAAGCTTCATCTGCGATTTCAATTTCCCCTCAAATCCATCCGTAAACCCTAGCTCAATTTCGATTCAACATCTTCCACTGTCAATCATGGACGCTGACTCTTGGGCTGCTCGTCTATCATCTACATCCAAACGATACCAATATGCTCTTCAATCCCGATCATCTGGTAAACATCAAGATTTAATTCAGGGTTTCTTGTAATTATTTGTAATTTATTTGTATGAGACCATAGGGTGATTGGATTTGGATGAATTTGACGCAGATATGTTTATGGGGTTCGAGGACATCGAGGTGGATGATGATATCAGGGAAGAATTTCCATGCCCCTTTTGCACTGGTTATTTCGATGTAGTGGGTTTGTGTTGTCATATTGATGACGAGCATCACGTTGAGGCCAAGAATGGGGTACCGATTGTTATACTTTTGCCCTAATTTTCGTTAATCCCCTTTTTCAAAGTTCAATTCTTTTCCACCTTCTGTCTTCCTTTTGGATGCCTGATGACATTTAGTATCTATTAGGGGATTCAGAATCTGAAATACCCTGATCATTGTCACAAGCATATGCCTTTTGGATTCTGAATAAGAATTAAGAAAGATCGTTGGTCCTTCTCTAACTTGTCCCAGTTCTTGATATTGCAGGTGTGTCCGATTTGTGCTGTGAGGGTGGGGGTAGACATGGTAGCACATATAACCTTACAACATGGAAACATATTCAAGATATCCTTTTTTTTATACGATATTTCTACAAAATAGAACTTATTCATATATATGCCATTCTTGTGTTTAGATTTTGAAGTCTAGGGTCTCTCATATATGTTTTCTTGCAATTTTTTTATATATATGTTTCTACGTTTTTGATGATGAAGTTAAACTGTGAAATCCTTAACCAAAACTTACATGCAACAAAAGAGAAAGTGTCGCAAAGGTAGTTCTGTATCAACACTTTCATTGTTAAGGAGGGAATTAAGAGAAGGAAATTTACAATCTTTATTTGGAGGTTCCTCTTATATAGTTCCATCAGCAAATGCAGCACCTGACCCTTTGTTGTCATCATTTATTTTGCCAATTGTTGATGATCTTGGAAGCACTCAATCTAATTCAACAGCTGAATCAGTTTCTGTAACCAAAAACACAACTGAAAAAGTATCTGAAAGGTATGATTCTTGATACTCAATGACTTTTGGTCTTATAGACTTATACATATATCATCCTATTTGTTTTTGTGAACACACTGTTTATTTATGATGGGTGTTAATGGAAGATGAAAATGTATTTGCAGAAAAGCTCAATCACCTCCATTGTCGATTGAAGATAAGGAAGAAAGGAGCAGAAGATCGGAATTTGTGCAAGGAATGTTGATGTCAACTATTCTTGGAGATGAGTTGTAAAAAGATGTGGTTATGGGGTTTCAAGGTGAGAGGTTGGTTGGGTTACTTATTTGTTATGTGATAATGGGGAGAGTGAAATGTAGTAATAAATTTGTAATTTATGTTTCTGAGATTTGTAGCCTCAATTAAAGTGAGATAAAAAAAAAAAGAAAAAGAAAATAAGTAGTATTAGTTTGTAAGCGAATGCGATACATTTTACTGAATTATGTTGTGGTTGTTTCTTCTATTTCTAAATTTTATAGCAAAAAGTTGCTATAAACACTACTAAATCAATATGTTGTTATAGTCAAATTATAAAAATAATGTATGTGTAGTAGTTTAAACAAACATTGTAGAAATGATCCCATGTAATAGTAACATCACAAAACTAATTCCTTTTGCAGGAAATTTCATTTGAAAATAACCTTTTGTACATATAAGATTAATAATCTTTTATCATAGTGCACAAACTTAACACCGACGTTACACACAAGTTAGATTATACAAACTAAATTCATGGGTTTTAAATAGTTGAAAGGCCAATTACACAAAACCATTATATTTTTGGCATCATACCAAAAAAGACATTACTTACTATTTTATTTTATTTTTGCAAGAAAGTCGTTGACGATTCTTTTTATTTTTTTTTATTGAAGTCATTATTTGCTTATAAAAATTGGTCCCCAAGTTTAACTTGTTTACATAGTCAACTTTTAGTGAGGTGGCATTTAATGTGACAAAGTATTGTCCACACAAGCAATTAGGTGTTTTCTTTCTTTTTTACCAAATCAATTGGTCTCTATTTTTACTATGAGTTCTATATCAGTTTCAAGTATAAATTTTGAGAACCAATGAAACTTCAAGTTGAACTTCTAGTTTGTAGTTCTGAAGCTCAAACTAGATGTTGTACATTAATAGTGGAGGGTGTAAACCCATATATAACCCCCGGGTCGGTATGTATATATTTATCCGACCCATAAAGTTGCAATAAACAGAAAAACAACACTCGAAGTTAGCCTCCAAGCATAATGAGTTGACTATGCGAGTATACCCATGTAGCAAGACATACAGCTTTATGTGCTAATGCCACCACTACTATCGTATGCGCAATATCAAGCATATTGGCTTCAGTCAGGCCCACAAGCTTACATACTGCCAACCGTAATTGGCAACCTGGCTATACGTCAAATACAATGGCCACAACAAGTCGCTAACAACAAGTTGCAGGGAGACAAGAACACAAGTGTCAATATTTGTCTCATACTAAGGTAGGATGATTCACCATTTATAAGAAGTATCCATGAATATCAATTACCATGTTAAGGAGACAGATGGAGATGAAGATAGAATCAGGGTAGTTGAGCAGAGTCATACGGGGTTTGTGCTCCAAGCAGCTAGAAAGCATCGCACCGGCCAAAACAAAGAATGAAAGGAGAAATTTTCATGTTCAGACAAGCAGAACAACCAGAAACAAGCAAAACAAAACCGATAAAGAATTGGAACCAAACCCAAATCCAACCCATGGGTTCGGTTACTTGACTTCTTGGGTTTTTTTTTTTTTTTTTTTTTTTTTTTTTTTTTTTTTAAATCCATTTTACTAGGGTCGGTTTTGGTTTATCGAAGCACCTTAATGAAACTCTTGATATTAGGAATGACTATATAATGGATTACAAGTCCGGATCTTTCTTATACGAAACAATGTGGGACTCCACTGATATGAGTTAAAGAAATAAGTAACTATATAGAGGAATAATCATTTGAGAACTTAAAGTTTTCTGAAAATCTGATAACTAAAGGTGGAACATTACATCAAATATTTTAACGGTTTACATTAAAAATGGCATAATTGTAATTATAAATGAATTTAGTGGCATTTTTAAGTTTATATCAATGAACCTTAGGGTAAATTCGGTATAGTTTCAGAAATAAATAAAATATAAATTATCAATTTATATATATATATATATATATATATATATATATATATATATATATATATATATATATATTCACAAACGAGTTGGTAAACAGTAAAGTTTGTATATTTGGCATTTTGCCACCATATTACTAAAAGTTTTTACATTTGCATTTTGGGCACCAGATTATTAATTCACAAAAGACTTTTGCCACCAGGTTATTTTTTGCATTTTTGCCATCAAATTAATTTGGATTAATATATATATATATATATATATATATATATATATATATATATATATATATATATATATATATATATATATATATATCATTATCATTATCATACATACTTATAAAGCTAGCATTTTTCCTTAAATCTCATGTATTTGAAACCCTCATAAAAATTTGCAAACACCTCATACATTTGAAACCTCATATTTTAATGAATACCACTCAAAAGTCTCTTAATAATGATTAACAATTCAAAAGTTTTATAACTTATATAATATATTTAATAAACAATTAATGGATACTCTACTATAAAAATGTCAATCTTTTTTAGTAGACACACAAATATAAATCACATACAAAATTCACAAAGAAAACAAGTTTGAAGTTTTCTATATTGGTTTGAGAACTTTGAACAATTTTTCGAGCCATGTTGTTATGTTGAAGTTCTTAATTTGTAAGTTTGTTATATACTAATTATTTTTTGTATTTTCTTGATTTAAGTATTCTTTTAAGAATATCATTGTATGTTGTGGTTGAAATTTAAATGTAAATTAGATTAGATTCATGTTATCGGTCATATGTTATGGAATTTGATATATATACAATATTTAATTAATTATATACATGTTTGTATGTTCATGTTGATTCAAAACAATAATCAATTAAAATCATGTATATGTCCTATTATTCATATTATCCATGTAAGCCTTTTTTAAAATGCAAATTGTCTATCTTATCACTTTATATTTTAGTATATGTTTAACATTTTAATTATAATAATAAGTGTTTTTTAAAAGTTTCTTTCACTTATTAATAATAACAAGTGGTTTTAAATTTAATAAGCAATAATTATAAATAATAAAACCAAATTACGTGGATATATCATATTATCCATGCAAGTCTCTTTTAATGCAAAGTGTCTATCTTATAACTTTATTATTTAGTGTATATTTCACATTTTAATAATACTATTAAGTGTTTCTTAAAAGTCTTCTTTAACTTATTATTAATAATAAGTGGTTTAAAATTAATGAATAACAATTTTAAATGATAATAACATCAAATTATAAATTATATTAAGCGAAAAATAAATTGTATTTTAAATGAACATCATTATTGAAATTAGAAAATGATTGCATAAGTAAAAATATAATTAATCAATAATAATAATTGTTAAAAATAATACTAAATATACAATTATATTTAATTCTATTAATGAGAAATGTGGGTTGATATCAATGAATATTATAGTTCAAAATAATAGAGATTATATATATATATATATATATATATATATATATATATATATATATATATATATATTAGTGTAAAAATATTATCTCAAACTTAATATCAATAACATAACTATTTTAAATATATATTTTTCAATATTTTAACAATATATTTTTAATCTTCGCTGCGCAACGCGCAGGAATTTGTCTAGTATACTTATAAAGCTTGCATTTTTTCTTGAACCACATTCATTTGAAACTTCCATGTATTTTTTCCTTTCACCACATTCATTTGAAACTCCCATGACTTTTCAATTTTTTTTCTAATAATTATTATAAGTTGGTTAATAAGGTTAAATAAATATCAAACTTAAAGTGTAATCATATATAAACTAAATTTCAATATTAAAAATATATATTTTCTTCTACTTATAAAGTTTGTTTTTAACTTTTAACATATTATACTTAATTTATTTAGTCTAATATGTTGTATGTAAACCATTATCATTCTAAAGCTACAACTTTCGATCAATTTGTATAAAATACTTAAATTGTTAATTTAAATATAATCTTACAAGATCAACTTAAATATAAAATTTAGTTCAACTTAAACAACCCAAAGAATATTTTGTAAATAGTTAAAAGTGATAAATTGTAGTGTATTTCTAATAATGATTATAAATTGGTTAATAAGGTTAAATAAGTATCAAATCTAAAGTGTAATAAAAAATAAACTAAATTTCAATATTAAAATAATATTTTTACTTCTACTTATAAAGTTATGTATTTAATTTTTAACATATTATACTTAATTTATTAGATTTAATATGTTATTGTATGTAAACCATTATCAGTTTAAAGCTACAACTTTTGAACTGTATGGACAAAATACTTCAATTGTTAATTTAAATATAACTATACAGGGTCAACTTCAATATAAATTTCAGTTCCACTAAAAAAAACCAAAGAATATTTTGTGAATAGTGAAAAGTGATAAATTGTA